TACCTATAAGCCGGGCGTTCCAGCGCTTTTCTCATGTGCGAACGGTACTGCTCGGGTTCTGTTCTATCAAGAGTCACACAGCCTCCTCGACAGTCTCCCACCGCTTGCATGGACCACTCGATTGGGTGATACCCAGTGCCTCATGTGCGTGCACCGTGTGAGTTGCCTGTCGCCTTGTTACATCTATCCACAGACTCGAGGTGACACTGACTTGACTGAAGAGTAGGCATATGGTCTAGGCATACGGCATCGCAGGACGTTTCTTCACCCGACCTTCCGGGTTGGTTCTCCTTAGAGACATTCCGCACACGGTGTTGAGCTCAGATCGACCGAACGAAGAGCGACTGCGGATGCTCCACCGCTGTTTGCGATGGCCTCGAAAATGGCTGCTCGCGCAAGCTTGAGCAGCTTATAAGGTCCGAGCGATCGCAGAGGCGAGGCTCCAACTCGCACCACGACCGAGTGAGCGAACGAGCAAAACACCGTGTGCGGAATGTCTCTCTTGCAGAGTGGGCTCCTCGATGTAACACAATTCTACTTCAATCATTGGACATCACCCGTCCTCGCCTTCGTCATATTTGGGCTCTTCGGGATCACATCGGAAGCCCGCGCATCGTTCTGGCGCATCATATGCACCGTCGGCGGCTGGTTCGGCTGGCAACCTAAGCTTCGCGTGGCGCATAGGTTGCGTTTGCCGCTGGGAGATATAGAGTTCGGCGAGCGTCCTGCTGAAAACTCTATGTCGCTTGGTCTCGAATACGCCCACCCGTGCATCCACAAGAACTAGACTGACGAGTATACTCTAGATCGAACCCAAGCTACATTGACCCCAACGCCCGCGCGCAAGGTCAGGTCCTGGAGAGCAGAGGCTCAAGAAGCGGTGATACTATGAGAAGTAAGTCTGAAAAGGATGTGAGTGAGGAAGTGCACCGTTCTGCGACGTACGTAGCCTCCCACTACTGTATACATTGAGTGTGAGCTGAAGCGTCGAGTAGGTGCTCGGACGCAGAGCGCGCGGCACAGCCATACCCGGCCGGCTCCCACGAAGGCAGCTTCGGCGACGCTTCGGTCGTGGTGTAGACGGTTTGGATACTCGTTGATGTTGCCGTTCGGCACTATTGTGGCCGCTCAAGGCCGCTCACTGTCTGTCAAAGTCCCAGACATCTTCCTGTTCGTACTTCGAGGGTCTCTTCTTGCTATGTACGCGCGCCTCAGGTCAGTCTAAGGTGTCAGTGTGTACCGTATGTCCCGGTTCGAGCGTTCGCAGGTTTCATTGGCTCATCATGTATGCGCGTCTCAGTCGTAGTGTTTCAAAATCGAGATATGACATCATGCATGTATATGTACGCGGACATCACCACGGTGTACAAAGGCGAGAGGGGAGGACGGATTGTGGATCGGGATCTTGTCGAGATACCGTAGCGGCTACATTGACCTGCATACGGAGACTGAGCACCAACAATCGTATTCAAAAGGTCAAGTATTACGCATATTCGTAAGGGCCCACGTGAGCTATGTAGTCCATGTTCAACGCGCTTGACTCGTCGCTGCGAGCTCGTCCTGCTCAATTTATACGGTCGAATGCCGTGGTGAGATGAAGCATTCTCGCCACGTCCGCGGTAAGAGGGATTGTCGGCATGCGGGATCCCTCCTGCGTAATGGGGTGCTTTGTTGAGACGGGCTGCAGCTATTTCGCAAGACGGCAAAATGGCCAACCGAGCGCTATCGTCGCGGCGTACGCGACTGGCGTATTGGGTGACCTCTTGCGTCCAGGTCCACAAAACTTGGTGCGAGGCGCCTCTCACACGTCCACTAGACCGGCATCACAATTCGATCGCGCGCATATGATGCCCCAGAGCCCCGCTCGCTTGACATAGTGAGCTTGCGACCGCGTCTCGCCATTTCTCGCTCTCGAAGTAGCGTATGTGCAGGGGTTCTCCTTCACATGACCGAGTATGGCTACGCTCGAAGAGAATACATCGCGCGTTGCCAGACGGATCCCTCGCTTGATCGAAGCGGGCTTATCGATGTTCTACAGCATTAAGGAGCGAAAGAGCGAGGTATGGAAGATAGAATCGAGCCCACCTGCGCTTTCGTCCCATAGATGTGTGGTGTACCTGCCGCACAGTACTTGGCGCGCTTGAGTCTGACCGTCAACCACAGGCGCACTCAAGACCCGACTTCCGCTAGCGTAGGAGGATGAGGTGTTACGAGGATAGGCTTCCGGGTCTCGCCGCGCGCGCCGGGCGCCCATGCGCTGAGCCCGCTCGCACTCGCGAGGAGACTGTCCACCGCCTTAGGATATGTCGAAAACAGTACACTGGGGCAACGGATTGCAGCGAAGCGCAACGTGGAATAGGAATGATATTGAGGAGAGATGGCGCTACGCTGGTGGCCGTGCCAGTGAGCATCAAGTTTAAGAGCGGTCCCGCGATTCTCGCGCTGCCGCTTGATGCGCAGCCGCGGGCCAATCTTCTTTCACCCCTACCACCACCTTGCCACCAAAACAACTTGTAGCAATGATAACATTCTCCGAATATTCTTATGGCGCACTGCGCGAAGCTCAATTGGCTCTTGAGAGGCACATGAGTACCGAGCTCTTCTTGCCCGGCTTGCGATTGACGTCCCCGCTCTGTACGGATATCCTGGCGTCTAGGCCCTCAACCCAGTCTCGACTCTCCTGCACCGCTTCGCGTTGATCTGAACGACTGCCACGACATCTAGCGGTGGCGAGGCAGAACTCAGCCCTCATCTCATCTCGTACAGTTGTTGCACTGTTGTTCCTTTCTTTCATCATAGGATTCCCACTCCTCGCGCGTGGACCAATTTGGTACGCAATTTGATCCGCGGGCTTACAAGGCTACAGTACCATCTCACTTGTGCTTAGCAGCGTCGCACGTGCGTATATAGGGATAGGATCACGTTCCGCCAGTTGTAGCCCGCCTTTAACCAAGAATAACACGAGAACAGCCTACGGATATACAGGTACGTGCATGCTTGCTTATCATATTCAGCTTCCAACCTGATATATGGAATTCTACCAGAGCGAATAGACCATTTTGCTCTTTGGGTCGTCGACTCTCTGCTAGAGCAGGTTTCTGCAGTGACAACAGTGCGAGTCCTTGTCAATGCATCAAGAACGCAGTGCATCCATCGCGGTACGCGTCGACTGTTTTCATGTACACATTCCGAGCTTTGTCGGCCTGACAAAGTGGAGTCGGCGCTCACGCCCGTGCAATGGTTGCCTCGACCAAGAACGTACTTGATATCGTCGCACGAAGACTGTATACACTGTGTAGCCATCTCATCATGTACGTTTTGTGCCCTGTATTGATAATCAAGTTAATTTGCTTCAAAAACGCGTATATATGGCAGGCATCTAGCTCATAGACTGGGTCGTCAACATCTCTTTCAAGCGCCATGGCAGCCGCGGTTCCAACGTACCCCCTCTACCCCATTGCTTGCCTCCTCGCTTCGGCAATGCTGCTTCTCGTTCTTTTGACCAGCTTTGTCCGCCAAAGCTGGAATCTTGGTGTCGCCTTTCTCTGTTTCTGGCTCTTCTTCGAAACTCTCACCTTTGGTATCAACACTATCATATGGTCCGATAACGCCGACATCAAGCTGTATGTGTATTGCGACATCAGTCAGTATACCGACAAAGGGACTCCCCACTCGTCCAGACTCTGCATCTAACATTCCATTGAGCAGTAACTCATATGCAGGCAATCACGTCGGTTGTCAAACCTATGGCCACTCTCATCATCACTCGCCGACTATACCTGATCACCAGCCTACGTTCCATAGAGCCTCCTACGAAAGCGGCAGTGAGTTACAGTGCACGTGCGGCTCTTCTCATTCTGACTTCAGTATCAGAGACGCAGAAATCTTGGCATAGAGTGGGCGCTCGGTTTGGGCATTCCTGTTCTAGTTGCGGGACCTTTCTGTGAGTACGTCCATAACTCGAGTGTCACAGCATGCGCTCAGCGCGTCCGGAGACTATGTCGTCCAGGTTGCTCGATTTCAGGTCGTTGAGGGGTCTGGCTGCACCAACGTCCCCGACGGATCGATACTCACCATCTTGCTTATTTATTCATGGAGTGTGTTACCTCCCCTGGTGTCCATCACTGTGTACTATCGTGCGTCAGGCTTATCTTCTACAATCAATCCTTGATCTCGCAATGCTCATTCCTAACACTCCAGCTCATGTCGTCCGCATCTTCTATCGCCACAATCGGGAGATCAACCAGTTCTTATACAGCAACAATTCGGTGACCCGCACTAACTACTTTCGCATCCTTGCCTTTGCGAGCATCGATATTCTGCTCACCTTGCCTATGGGCATCGCGACAGTCGTCTTGCTTCTGAAAGCTGAAGTGTCTTTCGGTCCCGTCCCATTTTACTTTGGTTGGACCTTAGTCCACATGGACTGGCAGCCGGAGAGCTTCTCCTATGCAGAAATAGTGTCCGAGGGGCCTTTCAATGTAGCAGAATTCTACTTCCAACATTGGACATCACCCATCCTCGCATTCGTCATCTTCGGCCTCTTCGGCGTAACATCGGAAGCCCGTGCCTCATACTGGCGCATCATCTTTACGGTCGGCGGCTGGTTCGGCTGGCACCCCAGACTTCGCACGCACAGGGCACGTTCGGCGCCGGGAGATATCGAGGTCGGCGTGCGTCCTGCTCAGAACTCCATGTCGTTGGGTCTTGAGTACGCAGTTCGTACAATTACACAAGTATATGACTGACGACGAGGAGCTAGATCGAACCCAAGTTTCATCAACCCCAACGCGCGCGTGCAAGATCAGCACGAAGAGGGCGGGAGTGGTGTGAATGAGATGGCGGAAGGCTCGGAGGGCAAGGACGCGGTCGACGAAGTACACCGGGCTACCGGCGAAACGATGTAAGCAGGCTTTGCGACGCCGTATACTCTGATTGGTACCTGACGTATCAAGTAGGCATGTGGACGCAGAGCGCTCGACATGGTCTCACGGGCCCCGCCATGGCGGGATCGAAGATGTTATGAACATTGCGTGAAGGATGCTGGTTCTTATTGGAGTTGCTCGCTAGTAGCGTGACTTCTCGTAGTACAAGGCTACACACGGTTCGGTGATTGAGATGCTTTGGAATCAGAGGCTTCCTTATGTATGAATGCCCGAGTTACTCGCTTTGACTTCCAATCTCCGTATGATATTATATCACTTCTATCAAACTTCTATGTGCTTGCATGGGTGTATACATCGTGCTACAGCGTACATGGAGGTAGGAGCAAGACTACTACCCGAACGTACCCAAGTGATGGACATTGCTGCGATTGACGATCCTAACTTCAGACTGGCGATTTGAGATAAGTCCGAGGCTTGGCGTAGTCATGTATGCATGGCTGGAGGAGAAGGTTGGAGGGTACGTGGGTGGGCGCATGATGAATATGACGGCGAGAAACACGGTTGCTGCGGTGCGCGTCGCGTCGCGCTCGAGTCTCGACGCGCGCTTGTCTCAGTTTCCCATCTCTCCCGGTCCCGCACCATACCTAGCGCTACGCATCATGTCCCTAGCAATCTACCTTTAATCTTGAACTTCCCTTTCGCTGAGCGCATTGCCTCATACAGCCTTTCAGTCGGATTAGGAAGCCTGCTTACTCGAGTCAGCTCGGGCAGGACTCAGGGTCGCGAAGAAGACCTGGAGCGCGAGAGATCACACGCACAATGTCAATGGGAAACGGTGTATTGAAGGGCACAGATGTTCCTCATGCGACGTCTAGCGCCACCCCATCGATG